GAAAGCAAAAGCATTAATATGATTCTGTGCTATAATATATTAAACCCTTAAAAAAGATTTGAAGTTTAAGTGTACAGACCTTGGCAGGCTTCTTCCCATGGCAGAAAATTACTATTAAAAAGCTTTTAAAAGCTTTTGAAGACACATAATCACAAAAGAGTAACCATTATAAAAAATACAAAGGTAAACTACAAAATAATTGCTATCTATGCTCCACTGAATCAGGATTCCCTGATTCCCAAATCGTGGCATAAAGCTGTGGCTATCAGTACTTCTGGCAGTAGGTGAGAACATAAAAGTATTTCTGGAATAGGCTTAGCAGCAGTCCCAACTATTGCCTCTTCACTCCCAGCTTCTAAAAAGGCAGTAAATGGCAAATATAGACAACCAAACCCTTCAACATTGAGCATTAATGTTCCTTTCCATACCAAAGGCATGTTATTTTTCAGTTTGGGCACAAAAAGAAACCATAAAAGCAGGAGTCATTCTCACAAAATCCAATAATAGCTTCAGACATTAATGTCTGAAGCACTTAAGAGGTACAGACAGCTTCATAATTTATTCTAAATTTTGTCATAATTAAGTCTAACAAGTTGACATTTCTCTTGTATCAGAATCCAATCCAAACACAGAAAGGAAACATGTCCTTCCTTAACTCAACAATTTTTGGCTAAAGCATCAGAGCTTAAACCAAGGAGTGAAGTGTTTTGGCAGCCTGACTACTTTGATGAATCAACCAGACAGCACAGGGAAAGCACACCCTGGAGTCAGTATTTGAGCACAGGTTTTCATAAGCACAGTCTTGTCCTTTTTGTGTGTGCTTTTAAAAATCAACGTAATACTTTGAGTAGAATATGACCCAGCCTGGTGTTGATAAAGACAGGTTTTTTTTAAAAAAAAAAGCAACCTGAACTATCTTTTACCTCTAGTTTTGTTATTCTACACTTATTGCTTGAGCACTAATGAAAGCATTGCTTGATTTCAAGGTGCATTAAGCAGAGCCTTAAATGTTTTGTAAGACATGTAGGTTTGAGCTGTATAGGTGGCAAAAATTAGGTGGTCTTTCCAGCAGAAAGCAGCACTGCATGAAATAGAGGACAGGTACTAACAAGGCCACACCAAGAGTATCTGTACTTAGGAAGTGTGGAAAGCTTAAAAAAAAAATTTAGTCTATTCTTGTTGCTATCTTGTGACAATTGCTTTTTTTGGTGTCAGACTTCTGGAAGTGAATTATCTCTCAGAATGCTGACAAAAATGGAAAACAAATTGAAATACTGCTGGAGATAAGAATGGGTAGGGATGTGTGTATCCTGTTTATTGGTCCTCTTTCAACATGAAACATGCATGCTCACATCCTTTTGGGGACTTTTATTAGCTGGGTACTCAAAATGAAAGTAGCTGTGCTCCAGCCAGGGTAAATGCTCCATAACAGCTGGCTGGGATTACTTTCTGCTTTGAAGATATCTGGAATTTATGACAGTTTTATGACACTGCACATATTTTAGAGGAGCCACGAGGATTCTCTCCTCTGGAAAATGCAGCACTTGGCCCTGTGCTCTGAAGCTGTGTCAGATCCTGAGCAAAGCTAACACACCGTGAGATTTCAAGTATTTTGTGCCTGTTCAGCTGAAAACTAAAGGTGATTTGCTCCTCTTTTATCTAAATGCTTATCTTAAGAGAGCAGCTCTCCTCTTTCATGGCTTAGAGGTCTGTTCAGCCTGGAATATAAGGCAGCTCAATAACTCAGTGAGTGCAACACTGTCTAGACTGAACAGGCTCTAGATGGGAGTTAAGACAGAACCTGCCTGCTGCCAGTTCTGCTCTGACCTTCTGCAGATCACCATCCCCCAAACCTATGCTTCAAGGAGAAATTCTGCTTGCAAACAACAGACAGCATATTAAAAGCTACAATACAGTAAGAGATGAAGCCATACAGGTTTTTACATGAGTAACAATTTCTCTTACTTTCAGTGGCTATATCAACCTTACTTTTTTCTTGAGGTACTCTTGAAAAAACATTTAGAGCACAGTTAAATATTAACAACTACATTTCAAGATGACTATTCATTTATTCCCCTCCAAATTTGCTTGAATAAATGCAGAGAAGTGGACAATGAAGTAATTTATAATAGTTTTTTTAACAGGGTTTATTCCACTGTAACAAACTGAAATTAGAGCTTCACCACACTATCATCTTTGACTTATTTAGCATTCACAAAATTTCAAGCTTCTTCAGCAGAGATACCTAAGACTTTTTACCAAAACCTTGAAAGTAATTTCCTAGAAGGGATAGGAAAGCAGGAGTTATTCTTCTTCCATTTTACTTGAGCAGACTAAAACTATACCAGTTGTATCAGGCAATTATGTAGTGCTGCATTCTCCACAAGCACCCTTTGAACAAAGAAAACCTTTCCCCTTTGAAACAGCACAGACTTTGGTGTGTTTTGTTGCTTGTTTTTTTCTTCTTTGGTATTTTCAACACACAGAATAAAGAGCAGCTCAAGAACTACAGCTGTCCTATGAAGGCAGTACCACTTAGTCATAGGCTGCTGTCATTAATTAGCATAAGCCAATTACATTGTACCTGGTGTTTAACATTCTAAGCCACTCACCTACAACTCTGTACACTCTCAATAAAATTTTAGAAATTAAGATTTGTATCCGGCTGTCTTTGTGATTACCATTTATTAGTCCATGTGTAAGCCACAAATCAGCTATTTCCACTATCCAGTGCAAAATACAAACCCAGGAATGAAAGGTAAAACAATGCCAGGAGTAAACATGGCTCTGTCTGAAATGGGGCTTTAACTCAATGTGCACAGTTCCAGCTTCCCTGCAAACACCAACAGCTGAAATAATTTTCTATAAATATCTTACATGCATTTATGCATAAAAACCTACAGCTGTGAGACATCACCTCCAGGTGATAGGGAGAAAACAAGACCAAAAAGGTGATTATTGTTGACAACTGATGAAGAAGTAAACACATCTCTCCGTGCTGGCAAAGACATACTTGAAAAATACTGTCTTACAGGGCTGACTTTTACTTAAATATTGGTAGGTTAATATGAATAGGACAAAATTAACAAAAGGATTATTTTGAAACAAAAGGCTTCTAAGATTTCGTTTCTCTTTTCCTCGCTTCCAAATCACAGTTAAACTCTTCCAGGTCATTTTAGAACTTATTACAGACTCAAAGTGCAAGTACCTCTCCTTTAACCTGTGATATTCGTAGCTAAATGAATAATACTGGTAATAAACATTGATTTAAATTGGAAACAGGATAGAAATCGGTGATTGGATGGAACTGTGGCAGCGTGTAAGACACCAGGAGGAGCTGGAAGTAAGATGGTATCCTGTCAATATTTGGCTGACAGGAAAGGAAGAAGAGAGCTGAGTACCTTAAGCAGGAATGAATGAAGAAGCATCATTATGCTGATGCTTGTTTACTGCTTGTCAGTTTTGAATCCCCATAGCTGTAAAATAAAAAGAGCCTTATCTGGTATTGATAACGTTGCTGAGATGCCAGAAAGATGGATAAGCAATGTTCACAGTGAATATGGTGTTGGATATGTTTAAAACATTAGAACACCACTAACATGGTGTTCAACCAGAACTGAATTTCAGGGGATGATGAAAATAATCAAATTCTGTACAACAAAGAAACGAAAAATGAGTGTGCATAAACTAAAATACATTCTTCTCCAAGAAGTAACTTAGTATAACCTGATACTATCTTACAGTTTCAAGGAAGGCATCCACTGGCTCTGCAGATGCTCCATGCTGTGCTTTCTCAGTACCACACTGCAGGTTTTGAAGCAAGTACTGTAAGTCCCAAAATCTATATAAAACCTTTCTACACCTCCAGGAATTATAAGCAGCAATTTATAGAACCAGAAGCATGCTCTTGCATGTGCACACAACTGTGGAATGAAAAGTTTGGAATAATATCTATCACTCTTCCTAACCAGATTAATGAAGCTGTCAAATTCATCTTTCATTTCAAGACAATAGGGGAAAATATTTTTGCACTTAGTTAGAGGATTTATAAAGAAATATAACATCCTGCCTTTTTACAAAATGTGGGGAAGGAGAAAGGCTCTTTCCACAAAGCTGCTTATCCTCAGGAATAGCCCAGTTTAGTACTAGACATGCCACAGGAAGAAGGGGAGGGCTTTATATCCCAGCCTGTCCATTGTACTGAACACGACTTTTCCTATGGATGGGTGACCATCCTGTTATGCAGCTCTCAACTTCCTCCTGCATTGTGAGGCTCAAGTCATGGAAAGAGTAAAGTTCTTAAACTGAGGATTGTGTTGGGAACCCAAACACTTTCAATACAAGTTAACCAAACAAATACATCACGGTCAGACTATTAACATCCTGGTTTAGTTTGCTGAAGCCACTATTCTTCTGAAAAAATAATGTAATCAGGAGAACTCTGCACAGCTATCTTGTTGGTTCTTTTGGCTTCTGATAACGTTTGGACTAAGTGGGGAAAAAAAAAAAAAAGTCTGCAACTGCAGGAGAAAGCCAAGTTCAAAATGCAAGACAATGCACCTTCACAAAACAAACTGTCCCTAAATAGAGGCTAAATGGGAGCACATTCAGAGATCAAAAAGAAAAAACCCTATGCTAATTACCTATCAAGAAATGCTACTCTAGCTCCATTTGGGAAACATTAATTTAAACCTTAAGTTGCTGGAGTTTCAGCTACAGTTTCAAAAGTGCAACCTGTGAAAGGCTGACCTCAAGTGCCTCAGTGAGAGGACAGCTGCCCCCTTAAGAAAAAGCAGTTACCGCGTGGAGCAAAGTGACTGAGGAGTTATTAGTGTTAGTTAGGGCAGGACTGGGAGCACGTGTTCCAAGAAGAGAGTACAGGACATGCCAGGGCCACTGCAATCTATGCAGTCAAGTGTGGAGCAGCCTGTTTTATTCCACGGGCAGGCTCCAAGGAGTTGCAGCTCCAAGTACGTTCCGTTAACCAGCTCTGCAGTTACCTGGTATCCCTCTGTTTTCTTCTGGCACCACTTCAGCAAAGCGTTTCTCTTGGATCCTCCATATTCTCTTGCTAGGGCAGACAAGGGATCTTTCCTCTCTTCCCTAGGAACGAGGCAGAAGTGCAACTTAGAGCTTACAGTGTAAGCAACAGAAATACAGATTTGTAAAGGCTGAAACAGGACAAATGACTGTCACAGGGGAAGCAGCAGGACACTGCACTACTGACCAAAAACCAGAACACACAGAAATACCTGCAGAAGACTGCAGAGTTAGTTTGGAGTAATCCTTTCCTTAGCAAATCATCCTTCTCTTTCCTTTGAGCTTTTTTTACCAGGTCTTTCAACCTCAGTGATATTTCTTTCTAAGAGTTCAGAAAATTAAACTCACAACATTGTAAGTTCCAGCCTGAACCATTAAGATAACTCGAGTGACTTTATTTTGTATTTAGAAAGAGAATAAACTGATGCTATCTCCTTTGCATCTCATGGCTGATTACAAATGTCACCTTGAAACAAGAACTTTGCATGTGAGCAGCACACTGTTATTAAGAGAACATTTGTCTGAAATCTGGAGTTCTCAAAAAAGAAGGGGGAGATCTATGTAGGCTGATCTGCCAGTTGATGTATTAGCACAATAAAAGCTATCAATTAAATTCACTTCCAGTATGTCAAGCTATCTTAAGTAATTTTGGTTTTTAAGAAAAACCTGGGGAACAAAAGAACAATCATAACTAAGCTGGCCATGTTTTCATGAGTCTTACATTACAAACATCTGTTTACCAGGGTTTAGAAATCAGTTCTTAAGATTAAAAAATATATATTATAGAGGTTAATACTTCTCCAGTGGCCTACTTACAAGACTCAGTATTTCTATAGATACTCTAATGAACAGTCTTTTACTGAGCAGATGTTACACCACTTATGGACCTTAGTTACTGCATGTAAAGTGTGCCAGCAGTTGTTTTTAATATTACTTTTAATAATTTCCACTTGGAAAATTAAAATAAGATAGTTATCAGTGAACCTATACTGCAAAGACTTCCCCATCTGACATTTTTAAAGAATTCTATGCAGATGTAAACAAGATTGTTACAACAACCACAGAGATGATACCCTAAGTTACTCTTTCTGCCTACTTCCAAAAAGACAGAGATTGTATATATTCACTCTCATATCTTCAACTTTCATTCTTTACAACCCATCTGGTGACTGGAAAAAGGAGTGGAATGTGGAAATACAGAATATCACCAGTGCACTCTGCTGCAGATGTACAGGTAGCAATTCTCCAGGTCCTGCTAAGGGAAAAGAAAGCATCCAGGGAATGTGGATTCCTTCCTGCATGTGTGCTTCAAACAGAACACCAGAGACTGTTCCATGGATCAGCATCTGTTGCTCAAAGCATAAAAGAAGACAACATGTCCCAACAGACAAGGAAATGTTCTCAGGCACTAATCTTAAGTACATGTATTGCAATTTGCTTGGCCAGTCTTCACTGACATACAGATGGCAAGATCTCAAAGTTGCTTAGGTAACAGCTGAAGTGTCTGTGAAAATATATGCACAGCAGAACAATAAACAGGAAACAGTAACTCCTATCTTTGATGCAGAAAGGCACTATGAGCCTTTGAACCCAAATGCCCATCTCAGAGATTTAACACAACAAGGAAGTCACTTTAAATCTGAAATAAATACATTATCTGAATAGGTCACTGTATCTAAACTCCACAGGCACCCCACAGCTAGAATGATGCCTCACAAAAGTCTTCAGTTCTTAAATCAGTACAGATTTCAACAACTGGTGTATTTTCTCCATTGGTAATTGAAACAAATAACAATGGGATTGCATATTCAATCTATAATGAGGATTATGCAACACTATGAAAACTTAAGGACAGAGATTTGGGACAACATAAGAACTCAAATGAAAAGCTCCCTCTCTCTTTACGCTAAACATACTGTTTAGCCATGAGGGAGCTGTACAGCCTGTTCTCAAATTCCAGTAAGAGCACATGGTTTATATCAGGTTCTCACAGTTATGAAAACACTGCTGAAGAAAATAAATTAGCATTAAGTTGTATGGAGACAATGAGAAATGGTTTGACATATAAATCTTACATGTTAGTATATTAGCTCAACTATAATCCAAATCAAAGAGCTAACAAAGTCTTAACCAGAACAGGGAACAGTAAACTGCAAGTATTTGTTTTAGTGAAGTACAGCAATAACTGTGCATTTTACAGCAACTTCTAGGAAAAAGTAAGGGAAAACAGAGAAAGCTGGTCACATAAACTGAAGTCCAGCAGTGACATTCTGAGGGTGGCTTTAAAGACTACGCTCATCACCACACCCCCACTGCTGCAAAGCCCAGGAAGTCTCCTGTAGTACTGAGCATTGCAGGAAGTGGTTGGGCTGCACAGTAATGATTTCAAAATTATAACTGTACAATTTCACACTGAAATGTCATGGATTTGCCACAGTCTGCAGGCTGCCATCAATGCAACTCGATACGTTACCAGTTCAAAGTCCATGCACAGATGTATTAGTCCTGGTTTTTTATTTATTTATGGTTAAATTTAGGTGCTAGCACACACAGCATTAATTGTTGCTAGTAAAGAACCCACAGATCCAAACTCAATTAAATTTCTGCACAGTGAAAGGAGGGCAGCACTGAGGCCTGTCTCAGCTGATTTCAGGGAAATCCCTTTCAACAGCACCCACAGCTTAAATAACTTCAGAATTTTATGCTGTAGTTATTAAATATTGCAAGTGTCTCTGAACATTAAGGGTTTCACATTTCTGCTGTACAAAAGCTTTGTCAGGAAGCTCTGTGAGAAATGGTCTGGAGCAAGTCACTTAACCTTTGTCTGCCAGATTCCCAATCTCTGAAGCAGGGCTAAGGACATACCTCACTTGGATACCACGGGGATTAAACACTTTGAAGTTCTCTGACTGATAGCACAGCAGATACAAAAAGTTTTAAATTTATCACAGACTTATCTTTTTGTCTTACTAACCAAAGGAGGTTGTCTGGCCATTTGTTACTCAGACTTGCACTGATTCCATCTGTGGGACAAATAACCCAGGCCCGTTCACTCATGGCTATTTAGAAGAGTTGCCAGTGTCTGGGACTAAGATTTAGGCATGTTGCTGCTTTTTGTCTTCAGCTGGGATTACAGAAGGTCTATCATGTGGTTTCCCTGGGCCCAAGACACTCTGATGATCTGCTCTACATGCTGTAAGCTCACTTCTTGACTTGGCCTTCATGGTATTTTGAACTGGTATTATTATTTACTGACATGACTTAGCTTGGTTTTCTAGTGGAGCATAAAGTTTTGGTATTAACTTATACATTCTAAAAAGCCTAACTTTTAAAACAAATACTGAGCTGCAGAAAAATCTTTCTGAAGCTCTTAGAGATTAGTGAAGATCTGGGGAGCAGTAAGGTCTGCAGTCTCAGCACCAATACTGTACACCAGATGTGTGCAGACAGATATGGAATTTGCCCCAATAAAGGATTTTTTACCTTATTCGACTTCTGGTTGTAGGGGTGACTGATGCTGTAGGAGAAGAAGAGAGGGACAGCTGTGGTGAGGTGGTGCCCATTGCCATGAGAGACGCTGGAGATGCTCCGTCGGGGGCACTGATATCCCGCTTGATTTCTTCGCTACTTCTTCGAGAGACTAAGGGGGGAAAGGCCCATATATTTATTTAACTCTTTATATTTATCAGATTTATCATTTGCAGAAAAACTTGCAAAAACTTATTCGTGCTCTTAAACAAGCATTAGTTCAGAAATCAAGCATAAGAACCTATATCCAACACCAGGTTTCAGCATTTTTCTTGGTACTTTGCACTTCAGAAATACCAAGGATTTAGACTGCCCTACCAACATTTATAGTCAAGCCTGTATCTTGAAGCAAAGAAAATCTGATGAATGTATCTTAATGGAGTATCACTACTTCCATTTGAAGGATTTAATGAATGAGAAGGAATTTTAACACCAAAACATTTCTTTTTCTCTAGTCCATGCAGATACACAGCGAAGCTTCAAGCAGTTTAGAAAAAAGAAACCCCAAACAGTTTAGAGATGGCATCTGGTTTATTTCCCTTTAATTTTAATGAAGAATTGGCATGCATGTGATTTCTGGACATCACTAAATATCATTAAGTATATCAAGCATTGACTTGAGTCCATTCAGCCACATTCCACAGAGCTTGCTTCATTTTATCAAAGGAAACGATTTTTCTTTCAAATGAAAGCACAAGCATTGTACTCTGTAAAACCAAATCTGGAATGGTGACATGTTCTCTATGTGGAAAAGTTTCCAGTTAAAAGTAGGAGGTTTGCCTTTATACCTAAATAATCACCATTGTTTATGTTTGTGCAAATCAAAGATGCAACTCTCCACATAAATGATTTTCTAATGACCTGGGGGCAAGTACATCAATTTATAAGTAATAGACACAAGAAGTTTGTGATTTTAGGACAAATAAAAACTATCTAAAACACATCTTCTTGTAAACATTTACTCAAAGGTAGGTGTTTTTTAAAAAATATTTCTCTCAAATTAATTCTGCTTGGTTTATACAAAATACCATTTTATATTATCACCCTCTTTGTGTTATAATTTATAAAGATTTGTTTTGTAGAAGCCCCTGCTGATACTGAGGTATCAGTTTATACAGCCTGATAGTAAACTAACACTCTACATAAACTTGTACTTAGCAAGTCTATTGTTTTTTAAATCCAAAGTTAACATCAAATGTGCAGCAACCACCACTGGCAATGCTGAAGAATATTTGTAGGTTATGCCAGTCACAAAATGGACTCATTTAAAGTGATTCACTGCAAACATTCTTTTGTCCTACAGAATGGGTAGAAGTTTTGCTACTACCAGGTAATAAGTGAAAACATTTTTATGCATTAGATAATGGATAATAATGCATTTGTCACTTAAAGAGAATAATCCTCCTGTTTTAAGCCATTGACAATAATTCTTTCCACAAACAAAAACAGAACTGCTTAATTAGAAAAGGATAATAATGCTTCTCTGCCTCACTCAACCCAAAAAATCCTACATCCAAGCAGTAAAAAGCAACAGTCAGAAAGAGTTTCTTCCTTCACACATATCTTATACACCAAAATTATTTGTAACACAAGGAAAAATGACATAGAAGTCAATTCTTCCATGCATGGTTCACGGTTGTCCATCTGACACGTTGGTGGAAGTCTGCATAGCAACACTAAGAACACTTGACAAACAATTAGGAAAAAAAAAAATCTCTTCAGTTTCACTTGAAGTAATAAAATAGAATGTTATTTTACCACTAGATTTCAGTTTCTTTCCCCAAAAATACTTCAACAGAAAACGTGAACACTGAAAAATAAATTACTCCAAATATCCAAATAGGGGGTTTTTTTGACAAGAGTTTGATCAACGTTCTCTCTTGGCAAAATAAAGTAGATCTGTAAGTACAGTGTTGAAATGAGAGTTCCTTAGTTTAATAATCATCTAAAAAACGTGGTATTACCAGAAATAGCTTTGGCACTTTCCATAGCAGGTACTCTTGGCAAGGACGCCGGTCGGCTGGTAGAGGATGTTCTCAACAGATGTTCTGGACAAAGCAAAAGAAGAGAGAACATCATTGCTGAGGATTCCAGTGCAATGTCAGACATTTAGCTCTGAGTCAGGGACATTGTCCACCAGTGCCCGAGTTTGGCTGTTTTAGTGAGAGCAATTGATTTTATCTGTAACAAAGGGAAGGCCTAAAATTGCTCATTACCAATGAAGTGCACCATGAACACAGCATGAGCTTCTTAATCCTTGTTCCCTAAGGCTTCTTGCTAACCCACTTCCCCTGGTCTATAAAAAATGGATTGTTAAACCAAAAGGCTAAGAAAGGAAGCCCCATTTAGCACATGGCCACAAATATTCAATATTCAACAATGTGTACTGGTAAAGCAGATTGCTTTGTCCCTCAGGTGATTTTTTTTTTTTCCCCCTCTGGTTTATTGGGTTGGGGTTTTGTGGGGGCTTTTTATTATTTTATTATTAAATGAAGCCACACATTTTTTTCCTTGCCTCCTCCATGCAGTGGAGCCCAAGAGGTGCCTTCACAAACTGTATGGAAAGATTAGCTCTGCCTCCTGCCAATGAGTAAAAAGTCTACCACAAAATTCATTTTCTGTAGCAGCAAATCAAAACTATTTCCTATTATGAAATATTCCTTCATGTAAACCTTTAAACTGCAAACAAAAGGTTTACATATTCCTAAGAAAAAACTCTTAGAAGGTGGTAATTTGAATATTAAACCCCATGGAAATTAAGAACAAGGATGGAAAAAAAGTGAAACCCCATTTATTAACTGAGAACGTGACATAAGAAACATACTTTGCTACAGAAACACATTAAAAATACATCTCTCTGGCTGTAAACAGGAATTCTGTCTGGCACAGTCACTACTGGAACCCAGTCCTGCTCCTGCATTCACTGGCTCTAAGGGAAACACAAGAGCCATGTAAAACATACCACTCACTTTGTGTTTAAGCTTATGTCTACCCATGAACTCTGAAACAATTAAAGAATCCTGAATTATCTTCTTGGAAAGGCATTTCAATATTCCTAAAAATATCGAAGTTTCTAAAATTAAAACTGCAGCTGCATTGTACAAATAACCTCAATATGGATTCAACAAAAGCAAGAAGGAAATCTGGCACATACAGACTATTATGAAGTGCTACCAAAGAAAAAAAAAACCCAAGCCTTTACAAAACATCAGACCTCAGGAATACCAAATTGAGAGGAAATATTCAGCCTGGAGTCATATGGGGATTATCTTGAGAAACATCTACACACAAAAAAACCCTAAAGCAGGCATAAATCAGAGAGCTACACCCAACACATGATAGCCATTCATTCTCACAGGAAGAGCACATTGTGAGCAGCGTTTTGAGAGACAAAACAAAGTTCACAGAACAGGGAAATATTGGGAAATAGATAAATCAACACTCAATTCCATTCAATTTTTCATCTGGCTCCCGAAGATTCAATAATAGGTTTATATTTTACTATTCACATGCAATGCAATGCCAGCCATCATCCTCGTTTCATTTTGGGGGGTGAAAAAACCCTCAACCACACAATAAATAATGTAACCCCAGGTGGGTATTTTTAATATCTGGAAGACAGCTGCACACATGTCCCTGAGATTATCTTATCTTGATTTTACAAGTGATCTTAGTTTATGCACACACTAAAAACTGACAGACTAATGCCAAGTTATCAGCATGCAAACATGGTTTTGTAGAAAATTAAAAAAAAAAAGCACCCTCATGTTATGCAACCACATGTGAAGAAACAAGTAATAAGAACTTGAACACGAGATATTCTAAGATACTGGGAAGATATTTTGATAACAAAAAGGATATAACATGGTAATGGCTTTGGATACTAAACGATTTAAAAAAAACACAAACAAAGTATTAATAGCATAGCTAAAAACAAAGTTGGAATGAACTTGAATCAATACCTTGAACAGGAATTTCTGCATAGCTTGGTCTTTTGTCTGTCAGGGTAGCAAGGGGTTTCGAAGCTGAGATTGGCCCACTTATAGAATGCCTCTGAAATGGAAAAGCACTTGTGTCAAACATAATTTGGAACATCAGAATCAGTTTTAGACACTCAGATATTACATTAAGTACTAATTCAAAAGAACTAAAAAAATAGAGAAACCTTTAAAAATGCTTTTGCCAATCTGAATATACATACACACACTATGACTTGATATTGTAACATTTATTTCTCTAAATTGAAACCTGTTCCTCAGACCAACGTTGCAAATTAAGGTTATGAATTCTCGCACAGTTTTTGTAATAATGTTCACCTTCTTTTGTATTTTGTTTGAGCAAACCTGTTCTGATTAAACTAGATGTGTTTATTTAAACTAATAAAACCCCCTATATATAGCCAAGGTTTTAGTGCTTGATTTGTGTTATTAATATAAACCTTTAGAGCTTTGTGCTTTTTCCTGGAAAGATGGGAGAACGGTGTATTGGGTACAGTGACACAAAGTACCCTTTGCTAAGAAAAACCCTACTGAAAAAAATTTTTTCAGGCTTTATTCAGAATGTCAAGAGCTTCTGTTCCCCACCTACTTAACTGAGATGCTCTGGGAACAACTGGTGAGAGACAATTTGTTTAGTATTTGTCAGATATGTGATAAAATTCAAGTATATTTGTTTTCTTCTCAGATCACTTTAATTTCTGTTCTGCTCTAAACCAGCTATGAATTGAATATTTTCTTTTCAAGCTTTATGTAAAATATTTAGCAATCCATGGCTTCTAGCACCTTACAGTGCATGTACATGCTCACAACTGTGTTAAGACTCACACACACAATTTAGTAAGCACTGAACAGGACTCAAATAAGCATTTTAGTCTCACATAAGTGAACTGTACAATGCAGTAATTACCCTTACAGTTACTGAAACTCAGGCTCAGTTGCTGAAGACTCTTGGAGGATTGTCCACAATTATTTTAAATTAATCATTGCAAAGAGCCTATTGCAAATTACAGTTCACTCTTTATACACCCTGTTCTATTAGATTCCAATATTTAATCATAATCAGTCCACTAATATGTTTATCCTGAAAACTCCTTCAGCTTTCCATCTGGCCCAAGATTAGATGAGAAGGTTAAATGAGTCTTATCTTCATAAAATACTAAAGGTCAGATGTTTCTCATGCCAAATTATGTAGGCAGGACAGAGAAATCCAAAATTGTTAAGTTAACAGTATATACTTTGTAGGATCCTGTAGCACAGGCAGGATTACAGGGCTACTTATCCATCATTTCGAGTCGAACTAGTTATGGTTTTGTGCTAGAAATCAAATGTAGAAAATAACTGCCAACATACAGAACGAAGAGTTTCATCATTTCATATATTAAATGTCCTGCACATACACTACAAAGATTATACCTTTAAATTCCAGATGAAAGCGACTGTGCTAGTGAGCCACGCACAGAAATGCCCACAACAGCTTCCCCTAAGAGCTGGTATCTCAAACCTACACTGTCTTTAAAGTTCCTGTCACCTTCTTAAAAAAAAAAAAAGGACATTTCCTAAGTATAGGACAAGGTCTCAAATTGAGGCCATTTCACTGCATGCCCCCACCCCAGGAAACAGCGACAACAGTTAGATAATGAGGTTAAAAGAAAAATATCTCATTTTGGTCAGCTTTGGGACTGTCAGTACAGCGACAGGGGAGTACAGAGCTTCAGCCAGGAAACAAAGGTATATGCAGAGCTGCTTAAACACACACCTTTATCACTTTCTCAGCTTCTGGATATCACTTTAAACCAAACATCCTTTATGGGTATTGTCAGAAAGTGGCTGTATTACTCAACTGATAACTCGCTGCATATTGGTCTTGTCTCTTTGTTACAAAACCATTTGCCTCTTTGCTCCTGTTGACACTGCAGACAGGACTCACTTGCACTCCTGTTAGTTCCTTATTACAGATCTTAAAGCTCCCACAAGTAACACAATGACTAACACCCTGCAGACTAGAGGAAAACGAACCCACTAATGCTTATCCAGCTCCACCTGCCATCATCGATGTGTTAGCAGCAGAGCACAAGTCTCGGGAGACACTTCCAGTCTGAGAAAGAACTGTGGCAGGATGAACTAGTCCCTTCAACTCCAAATATTTTGCTTCTGACTCTTCATCCCTGTGTCTCTTGTCAGCTCTGGAAGGAAACATGACCTTCAACCACTATCCAGGTACCTATTCCCGATCACTCTGCACTTCAGTACGACCTTCATGTCGGTGCACCTACACATTTCAGAACAAACAGGTTTCCACATATTAACTAGTTAAGATATGGAATTCCTTGACACTAAATTGCTTGGAGCTGGAAGTTTATATACTTAAAGCAAACCAGGAGTGGTGCCCAGTAAATCTGAAACCACCTCTGCTTTAAGAGTTCTCCAGCTATGAAACAAAAAACGTAGCCAGGGAAAGCAGGAGATAAACTCCCTTGTCCTCATATTCCTCCCTAGGCATCTGCTTTGGTCACTCGGTGGCATTCCAGACCAGCTAAGCTCTGAGCTAACCCAGCAGGGCTGTTTGCACATTCTGAAGAGCATTCTCTTCATACCTCTCTCCCTAAATTGTTTTGCAGTACTGCTAAGAGCCATAGTAAAACACAGCTATGTTCCACTGCAGGCTTGGACCTGAAGCCAGAAGGGGTTTTGTCTGTTTGTTTTCAGCTGCAAAATATATCCAAGAATGTACCTCCTTGTACATACACATATTACTGTAAAGAAAAACATACCAAGCAAACAAAACCTCTTCAAGACTGAGGAAATTCATGGCAGTCCAACACAAAGACAAAGCACATGTTGATGCATCTGCACTTGGAGAATCTTTTTTGCAACCAATCCACCTCATCATAGTATCAAAATTGTGCCACTTTCTCCGCAGGTGCCCGTGTAAATATTTCCCCTGTGACAGCATTTAAAAACAACTGAGATAAATGATAATAAGCAATTCAACACCCATACAGAAATCAGCCCTTCCACCTTTCCCCAAGACCTTAAACCTTGGATGACTTCTGTAAGGTGGGAGCTTATAGTGATTATTTTGCATAATCTTGCTTTACAATTGCAAGAGAGTAGAAACACAGACAAAAAATTGTTAAAAAAAATGCATAGAACGCAACAGCAGAAAACAAGGTAGTAACATGAAAACAAAGAAAAGGAAGAGATGATGAACATCAGTTTGAACCTGAGCCCCTTCTCTCTTGAGAAAATATTTTCTTGAGAAAATATTCTTTAAATGCAATTTACTTAACTGAGGTCACAAAATCTGGTTGCCTTCTCAGTAATTACAAACACTTTCAAGAAATCCATCTAACTTCAAAAAGACAATAGGAGCTGTTTCCATTTACACACCCTCTCCCTTGTTTTTCAGGCAATGCTTCCCACTAATGAGTACCCAGCTGTTAATGACTTGGTTCTATAGCAGAAGGTGAATTCAAAATTCGAGTAATCCTGGCAGATCGAGATCATCAAACAAGGGCTGCAAACCTGTGCAGGTTTGCAGGATTCTGAGAGATTACTTTGGTTCATGGTTAATTTACAGGTAAATAAAGTGAAACCAAGCCTTAGGCTTCATTGAAAGGTCTTCTATCTGCCAAAGCTCTGGTTTAGCCCTTTAGAACATGAGATTAAGTCTGCCTCCTCCTCCAAGAGCACAGAAATAAACAGAAATATAAAGACAGATCAATAGGAACAAAGCATCTGTCAGAGAACATTTCACATTTAACTAATTTAGAAAACTGCTGTCAAGAGTGACTGAACCACGAGAAGTAGCAGAAGCTCTTCCAAAAAAAAAAACCATTTAATTCTTTCTCTTTGCTTTGAGGCTACCTATTTGTTTCATGAAATTCACTCTTAAATGAATAAAACCTGCACTGGTCTGAGCACAGGAGAATAGTCAATCTCTTCCAGGTACTGTTCCTTAAAGATTAAGAGCTAGTATGGATATAGAGTCCTCAGTTCACACAGAGAGAATTTATTACCAAAACATTACACTGACCTACAGTAAAAATCAAGTTTTGAAACTTATGGTTAGCAATATCTTGAAGGCAACAGGAGAATTACTGATATTAAAGGAGCAAAACACATAGTACATTCTTTGATTTTTCTTTATAAACCTGGTCCCATCTACCTTTTCCTTAAATTTTTTGGCTTTTGCCAAAATCTTACTTGACACAGCCAGTGAGATAATAAAACCAGCAACAATCTATGAAGCTGAACATCAGAGTCCTGATGATGCCACCTCAGTGCCCCCAGGCTCCTGCAGCAGCCCAGCAAGTGGACAGAGCTTCTGAGGGGACAGGACAAAATACACAGCACAACCACCCACTGGCCAAACTCTGTCAGTACAGAAGGAACCAAGATAACAAATTCACAATTATTTAATTCCTCTTGAGTCAGGCCTATATGGAAAGGCCAAGCAACATGGGATACATTTATACTGATGATTGCTGACAGATTCTGCACAGATCTCAGCCCACTGCCCCAAGGGAATTACTGCTGTTTCCATGCCAGGCACAGGACTAACAACTGACAAACAGCAACTCTAAAACTAAGGAATGCAGATACAGTTTTCCTCTCCTGATTTTCAGTAGCACAGGAATAGCAATGGTTGGGAATATCTAACAAGAGCTTCCAAAATATGACAAATCTTATATTTCAACGTGGTTCTCAGTGACTCTTTTGTTAGACTGAACATTTTAGTAATTACCTACTTAAGGCAACATTTTATCGTTATTTCCCCACAAAGTCAGCCAATATTTGTATGTTACCACCTGTAGTTTCACATACTCTTCTTCACAAAGAAGGATTAAATGCTGTCATAAAACACCTACCTGCATAGGGGATACAGCAGCAGCTGGGGGAGTTTTCATGGGACTTGGGCTCAGGGGAGTGCGAGGAATTGTGGCAGCAGCAGGGCTTGGAACTAATGGGAACACAGAAAGAAAGCCATTGTGAGCATGGCACTGTTTTGCAGTGAAACAGGAGACTGCTATAGCCAACCCTCACCTTGTACTTCACATTACAAGTTTTACCAGATCACATCTTTCAGAATTTCAATTAGTAACTGACTGAAAAGTCATTTGAAAGTATGCCTACACATTTACTCCTCTGCAATTACATTCATTTTCTGTCTATCATCCACAGTAAAAGCATAAGTTTACTGGGGGTGGACAAGGCTAAGGTGCAGGATACTATTACCTTGGCAGATGTAAATGCTGGCATTACTAGTTCTCTGATCTCCAGATAATTAAAGAGATAGCAGCAGGCTCCTGGCTCTGCCAGTGAGACAAGAAAGATAACCTATATCACCTGCTTCTCCTTTCTAGTTTCTAATCAAAGTCCACAAGTAGTAGATATTATATAGTTTAAATTTTGGGATTAAACGAGTAACATGTTTAGAAATGTACAAAACCAGACAAATTCTAAATTGGTGAATCAGTCATCTAATTATTTAACAGCCTGATTAGACATGAATGCTGAGGAAGGAGGCAGATATTAGCTTGAAATCAAAGATTCAAAAGAAGGAAGAGGGGATTTATCATTTTACCAGACTAACTCTGGCAAGAAAGCACCTTCTTCCAATAACACTCTAAAAAACCATTCTAAACTAACAGTGGAAAAGTAAAAAACTGTAAATACCTATGAACAAGGAGAACAAGCATGGAAATAGAATCATTTACAGAACCTCCAAAAACATGGAGATGCTTCTATGTCTTAAACTTTCAGGTTATAAGCAATTACAAGTAGCTTTGCTGTGCATAGTGCAGTCTGTAAGTCTCTCTGGCAACTTAGCCTACTTCAGACCAAGCTTTTTTACATCAAAGACTCACAGAGACATTATTGTGCATGAAATTCAAAACCCAAAGACCTGGCAAGGGAAATATTTTAATCAATTCAAGGTCCTATATGCAGTCAAAAGGTAAAAACCCAGTGTTTCTCATTTCAGGATAACTACTTGGATTCCTTATTCTGCTCATCTAAAGAGAAGAATAACAGCACACAATCAGAATTATAGTAAAGTCTGTTGTCTCAACAGTGAGACCCCTCTCATGTCAGAAAATATTCCCTATATCTTTTAATAGGTGCTATTGGCTGGATCTTAATTTTAACTTTAATCAGTGCTCTCAGCATAAGAATACAAGTTATTAAAAGAGATAAACTCAGCTCTAGCTACTACCTGGCTTTTAGAATGCTTAATTTGGTACATTAAGTTCACATTTTAATAATCAGGCTGAAATCAGCTGTGCTGCCAGCTATAATTATGTGTGTCATATGTGTTTATGTATTTCTCATATACAGGAGCACTGAATCAAAGCACCCAGCATATGAGTCACTGGCAATGCGACAATAAAGAAAAAAATAAAGGCAAGACAAAAAGGGATGCTCGCACTGAACTGCAGAGAACAATCTGTTCTGCAGCCCAGTTTGGGTTGGTTTGTGTCAGCCATCACCTACAGGCCACGACAGTGGGAAATAACTCACCTTTGATTCAGCTAAACCAGCAGAAGGGACTATGTGCATACCTGCAGAAGGGAGAGCTGGTCCAGCCCTGCCCTGGCTGTTCACCCACCTTGGGAGGCGCTGTCAAAGGACTTGATGAGTGTTTTCACAGTGGGGGTGGGCTCGGAGGAGGTGGATGATCTGCGGCTCAGGCCCATTCCCTGCCTCAGAGCTGCCAAGTCTCTCTCTACAGCGTTCATGTAATTGTACACTCGGCCACGTTCCTCTTCCTGCCTGAAATCAATGCACAGCTCATTTTAGCTATTTAAAAAACGTTTCAACCTGCGAAGTCTCAAAAAAAAAACCCAACAAATTTGAAGCTGAATTAAAATCTATGGTCCAAATCGGTCATTACATTAACCTACTTGTCTTTCCACTGTAATTTAGAAATAGATTATCAACCTAAATTATCACTGTAAATTCTTATTATTTGTCAGCAACAGAGCTTAGCATCTGGTGAAAAGTCTGTCAAATCAATACTTGATTTAAGGCTTAATTCCTGCTC